AATAATTATGTGTAATATAATAATGTAAAAAATTAAAATTATATTGATTTTAAAAAATCAGATCTGCTAATTTTTTTATTTGTACTTATATTTATTTATTTTCTCCAGTAAAAATTGTTCGTTTTTTAATGGTTTTTACATGATTTTATTGCTTTGCTTCGTAATTTTTTGTATATATTCGACTGTATTCTCAGAAAAGTGTTAACAAGAATAAAAATATTTGAGTGTCTTAAATGAAAAATGCATTTATTTTGCCTAATTTTTTCATCACCAGGTATATATACCTAGATAGTTATGATGTTTTATATATATAGGCATATGGCCTCGATTCAAACACATAAAATTAGCATGGAATCTATATTGAATGTAGTGAAAATAAAAAATTTACAATATGCATTTAAAAATAGTGGTATTAGATTTTTTTTTTTTAAATCGTATCTTGTTTCTAAACTAGTTAAATTGTCGATCTTTTGCAATTATAGCAGGTTTGCGTTATTTCATACAGAGTCGTCCTTAGTTATTCTTCAATAAGACTTAGTGAATACAAAAATTATAGATGAGTCAAAAGGTGTAAATAATACTCACAAAATTTAAAAATAACTAAATGAAACGTACAGAATAAAAATATAACAAAATAAAAATATTTTAACATACCTTTCAAAAAAATATATTTTATCCTCGTGAAAACTGTTAACTATACAATATTAATATCGTATTGCCTTGTATTGGCTTTACACTAGAGAAATATTGACTTATTATCAAATTGAAACGTGTGGATACATTATTATCAAAGGATACAGGAACTACGTAGTAGATTCTTATATAATATCTGTTATCTTTAAATTCAATAATTATAATAAACAAATTGAATGGCAAAGCATAAGTACTTTATTGTCATGTAAATTATAAATTATTTATGATGATTACCAGATTACGTATAAAGGTATTTGCTAAATTATTATTAAAGTATGTCATACTCGCATATATAATACTTTGTATACTTCGTAATACTACTACTACCTTTCACGCGTCATGATATAGTTAAGTATAAAATATGTCGAATTTAACATTAGGCATTATGTATAGATACGACAATTACGGATCATTTGAATGTTATATTTCGTTATTAAGAAATACAATTTTATTGACTGTGTGTATATCTCATATTAATATATTATGTAGGCTGTAAATGAATTGACATAGAAAAAATTAGACACCTATATACTGTATGTCAGTTAAATAAAATGATGGTAGTCTAAACTGTTGGTATGATTTATATGGAAAAAACTTGTACTATATAATATTACATAGATAATACATTAATATTCGTATAGTTAGTTTAATAGTGTTTTAATTTATAGCAGAAGCACTCACTGAGGACCAAGGCACAAAAGCAAAACCTAAAGCATAAGTAAAATGTAATAACTATGTATATTATTCTTTTACTTTTAATCTTTCAATATTTAATATTATTTTAAAAAAAAATCACATGATTAAAACAAAACAAAAAGTAAAACAATACTATGTAAGATTTTAAAAAACTAATTAATAACATCGACTTTTAAGTTTATCAGTAATAAATATAACAATAAAAAAAAAAAAGACGTAGTATAAACACTACTTATGTTATATAACAGTGTAAAGTACAAATGATTATTATGTGGTCACATAATATGAATTTATTAATGAGGTTATTGGTACCGACCGTTTTCGTTATTGAATATAAAAATAATTTTTAATATTTAATTGATATTTAACATTAATTTTTCTTTGGTCCGATATTTAGGTATTCTAAATTTTCGAATTTTATTTAAACTAATATATGATACAGTTTTCATTAAAGTTAGAAAATGTATTATGAAATTGAAAGCATCTTTTAAGTTGTTAATATACTCATTAAACAATTTTTATTCTACAGTATTTTTTTTTAACAAACGTTTTTCTTCAAACCATTAAAATTATCCAAAATTTAAAAATTATATAGTTTATTTTTTACCAATTTAAGTTGATAGTAATAACACATTTTTCAGATGAATTCATGTTTGATAATTAATTATCTAGATACTATTTTTGATGATATTGTGGCAAAGATAGAAATTATTTAAACATCTACAAGGTACAGTGACGTATTTACGGGGGGGGGGGGATTAATGGCATAAATCCCCCTGCCATAGACTGTATAGTGTATACACATAAATAATTATAGTCATCATATTATTTAAAAATTATTATTAATTTTTTTTTTTTATCAATAATTGATTAAATTTGCAAGAATTAAAATATTATAATAAATTGTACAATATTCTCATTGGTATCTTCATTTATAAAGTCATATCCCCATGAAAAAAATCTAAATACGCTATTGATAAGATATATTATGTATATGATTAATACAGCTTAAAAATTATATACAAGGTTTCGTATAAGTTTTAATATTGAAAATGTTAAAGATACATAGACATAATTTTTATTTATAAGCAATCAAAATTTAATTTTTAAAAATATTTGTTAAAATCACAAATATTTGTAAATCGTATTGTAGTTAAAAATATATAGAATATTCAGTAATTTAAAACAAAATTTAGTCTACATGTAAACAAATTTTTTTAAAAATATAAGTATAAATACTGTTTTTATATAGTTATTTTTATTCGAATTTGAACGAAATTAGATATTTAAGTGAAGAATAACGACTTAAGTTATCATGTATGGATAAAGTTCATTATAAATTTTTTTTTTTTTGTTGTTGAAATTAATAAAACATTTTGAGCATAAATTTAAAAATAATTTTTATGTGTGTTATATATAATTACAGTGTTTTATTATTCTATTATTTTTGAAGTTGAAACATTAGCAAAATTGGATATTCAAATGTAAACAGATTTAAACAATTTTCTTTTATTATAGTTATTCAAATATAAGTAACAGTAGATACTTTAAAATTTTATCAAATGTCAAAAATTATTGAGTATTTTTGAGCTATTCATAGACATTTATGATTTTTTTTTTTATTTAAATATCAATAAAAACTTTTTTGCTTAATCAAAAGCTTGAATATTTTATACAAAGTTTTATTATTTATGTTTAAATGTATTGAAGAATAAAGATTTTTTAGCTCATTTTTGTACGAAATTAGATATTTAAACGAAGAATAACGACTTAAGTTATGTTGTGATCATTTAAAAATATTTTTCAGGAGGATTTTAAATATTTAACATATTATTTAATATTTTATACTCACAAAAGACATTTTAAAACATAATGTATTCGGCAAAAATTAATTTAACCTACTATAGTAGTAAATTTTTCATAATGACATACGAAACGACTGTGGTAGTCATCTACTCTGCGCCGTAAATTTGGTCAGCATTGTTATGCAGGGAGAAGACGTTTTCATGTGCTAGATGGCGGTCTTAGTTTTGAAATCTGTATTTTGCTTTAGCGAGATTAATACAATAGTACTTGTACTATTTTTATATCGTTATTAACTAGAATTAATGTATCATTTTATATACAACCTTATTATATCTTTGGTGTCGTAAAGGCTAGAAATATTTTTAGTCTAATTTGGAAATATTTTTTATTAGTTTGATTTTATTTTTAATTTTATTAGATAATCCTTTTAAGTTTAATCTCTATAGTATATTTAATATAAAATAATGTATTCACATTTTTATAAATTTAATTCTTTAATAAATCAAATTTATTATGTATATTATATATCATACATAAATTACCATTAAAAGATTGTTATGAAATTTCTTCTGGAAATTTCGATAGCCAAAAAATATCTAATTTCAAAAATAGAAATTTTTTATTAACAACACTATTATTAACCGATATAGCCCAGACCACTGCCTTAGAAATTCTTGTAATAATTTAAAACACTTTTTGAAATTTACTTCCGTGCTTATAGGTAATGTTGGAAACATGAATCACGTTCCATTGTATTATGATAATCCTTGCTTACTTCGACTCAAATAGTTAAATTTAAATAATCTTATAATATAAAAAAATATGGAATAATTGTTAAATTGTTATTTTTTTTTTTTAAATATCACAAAACAAAAAAAAAAAAAAAATAACAATAGATAAGTAGTATAAAACATATAATACTACAATATATTTATAAAAAAAAAAAATTAGAACGTTATGAATTCTCAGTAACTTAATCAATATTTTTTATAAATTATATAAGCTGATAAAATTATTTTAAAAACTTTCATCTTTTCAGTTAATGTCTTCTTAAACTATATTATAATATTATTTCCGAAAAAATTTTAATCGTCAGTTAATCGACGACAATGTAAATACGATATTAATGTTTTTTTTATGATGTTCAGTGCGCAAAAACTGACAAAAGAATATCACTTATATAAACATTGATTTTCGTTACTTACCAATAATAATAAAATACTTATATTTCAAAACATTCAACTAATATTTTTTAATAATTAACAATATAAGTACTTTTCAAACAAAATCAATTTTGTTGTTTCTACTATTATTGGAAAAAAAAATATTAATCAGGAGCTTGAAACTTCTTACCATTATTATACATATATATTATTATCTTATATATACATAAATCTATTATCTATAACTATATAAATGTTTGTTTTCAATCATTTACTGAGCGCTGAAATATTTTATTGCATGTACTTATTATACATTTATACATTAAGATTTCTTAAGAGTTATAAAGAATACGTATAATAAATCAAAATTATTATATAAATTATGTTAAATAAAATTATATTTATTTTGTTTTCTTGTCAAAAAACAAAAATAATATGACCTGAAACGTGAATTTACCTATTAAATAAATTCATTAAAAATAAAATATAACTAGATATATATTTTCTGGTTAAAATAATAAATAATATTTAAGCGTTCCGAAATCATCTGATTGGTTTGATAAAACAATTTGTTATTATTTTTGTCAATTATAACGGTATATCTTACATTTATGTATTATTGAAGCGTTAAAGCGTTGAAAAATGAATTCTTATCCTGGCTGTACAGTAAATCGTAAGGAATTTAAACCATTATGGTTGTCAGGATTCAGTGATAGCGCACTTCATAAAAGCACCGTAATACACGGATCTCTCCTTAACCGTTCCAAAAAAGTTCAGCATAAACGTTACAAGAGAAAATTCATTGGAGCAATGTCTTATAAGTCTTTCAAAAAAGTAGGTGTACTTTATTCATGCATTTAGTCCGACACACATCCGTATCTTTTTATACGGTACTACTTCATTTATTATCCAATTCAAAATATGAATATGCGTAGTAATATCTTCAGACTTCCAGTATAATTTTGTATGCCATACATGTGACAAAACATGTCCATTTAAATGCCACCTTACCCCACTTTTAAAACTTAAAGTATCGATAAAGCAAAATGCTTATTTGTGTAAAAAACAATGGTACTTGATGTCTATTTCTGTATAAACGATTGGTTTTATTAAAAGTTTAATTTTAGAAAGTGAAGTTCATTAAATATCAAAATAACTAATATATATAGGTACCCTATATTAGTAAACTATTCATTACCTAAACAAAAGCTTTATTTACTACTAAAATAGTGACCTGAGTAGCAGTGACTCCGAAAACGACTCCGAAGACGACGACAATGAGGAGTACGACTATGTCAGTCTATTCCAAATTTGCATGAACTATTTGTTTCCTAGATTGTTTCCAATTCAGCCCGTACATCGATGGATCAAGTCCGCACAGTCGGTGTCGGATTTAAAAGAAAGAAGCGCTGGAAAAATATTGTCACCAGTGGGCCGGTGCTCGATATTCCCGCAAGGAGTTCTTGTGCAATCCATCACGGAGAAAAATGTGACAAAAATATATTTTCCCGGGGCTAAAGAAATGTTCAAGGCTTCAAACCGTTCAATTCGAAATAATAAATAAATAACATGGTATGGTATATAATTTTAAATATTCGTTTTACTATATTGTATCAAATAGTTAACTTTATTAACTATAAATAAATTGTACTTTAATAATTGTGTTTAATTTGAATCTTTCATATTGTTATTAATAAGGTAGCTAATTTACGTAGAAATTTGTTAGATATGTGCAAAATTGGTACTGAATGTGTCATTGATTTATTATTATACGTGTTCAACTTATTATGTATTGTGAAATTGATATTAAGAGAATATTTTGAAAATTGTTTATATTGAACTCCTTACGAATAGTCAACATAGAATACTCTTAAGTCCTTAAGAAGACGCCACACGATTGCTATTTAAGGGGTTTAATAATTAATATAGACAATTTTCATGAAATTTTCAGAAGAATTAAATTTTTCGATTTTAAATATATTTAAATATTAATGCAATGTATTTTAAAAGTAGTCCTGGGTAAATTATTAATAATGACTGTTGTTTAATATTGAAATTATATAAAATAAAAACGATTTTGCGCGGAATAAACTTATAAGTAGGTACATCATTTACATTAAGTTAACCAAACTTTCACACTAAAAAAAAGGAAAGGGTACTGTAAATAATTTCTTCGTAAGTTTGTTCCGTGTAAAACCATTTTTCACGAATTAAATTATATAAATGATGTGGTGCCTCTTAAGTGAATATTTTAACATTATAATGTTATTGTGCCTGTGCATCGGGGGCCTGCCCACCGAACGGCTTAAACTAGTTGTACCAGTTGTAATATATCGTATATCTGTTCGATCTTTGAAGTTTCTAAAAAATAAATAAAATAAATATTTTTACCGCGAGACACGCAAAGCAGTATAAGTATAAAATATATAGGCATATAGAAATATTGTAAATTAGTATTATGTTAATTGTGTTATGTAAGTTTTTATTTTTTAAATAACGAAATAAACATATTATTAGGTATACAACGCATTCAAACAGTTGCGCGTTGGCCAGTTTTCGGTCTTATTATAGTATTATTATTATTATTATTATTATTATTACCATCTTTCGTGCAACGAGAACTACAACTATCAAAAACATGAGAGATAAAAATGTTTTTAGAATAAATTATGTGACGCGTTGCATATATTATATATATGTGTGTGTGTATAATAAAATAATATTATGTATATTTTACTAAGGAAAGTTTATTTCAAAATAATTTATACCAGACGCAGTTCGATTTGTTTATCGGTAGAATATATTTAAAATAAAAAAATAAAATATACTACCTAATGTGGTAATATATTATAGTATCTTCAATACTAGGTGCCTATGTATTATTTTTTTCTTTTTTACTGTTTAAATGTTCGTTTCATCAAGTGAGCACGCCAATGAGTGAGTTCGACGCGTTTATTAAGCGTAGTTAATCAGTATGGTAAGATTAGAATGCGGTTAGATAAATTATTATAATAATTGCAGAACGAGTTCGAATAAAAACTGTGATAACGTGTCGTTTTAATGTTACTTCATCAGAACTGCGAGTATAGATATCCACCGTGAAGACCAACCCATTTATAATATTTTTCATAATATATAATATTATGAAAAAAGAAAATAATTTCCATCGTTTATGTAGGTATTATGTATGTATAGACGGGACGTCTATACAATATTTCACTGTTTCCATCGTAATGTTATATTAATTTCAATTCTTGCATAATATTATTGACACTTATTTAGAATACTGTCATTGCTTACATATTTTCATATGTTTGAGATACCGACTATAGTTTTCATTTACTCTGACGACCAAATCTATGCGTGGCTTGAGTAAATAATAACTACATTAGATAATATATATAATGATTTTTGTGACTTTAAGTTACATTGTTTTATAGAATAATATTCGTTCACAAATATGCGAACTTATACTCATGTTAAATTATTATTGTCTGTAGCGTATATTATAAAAAATCTATAAGTATAATAAGTTATAAAAGCTCAATCTAAAAGTATGGTAATTTTCCGATTTCTAAACGTATTTTATTACGACACAATAAACTACAATTTCATGTATAATTTAAAAATAATTTGGTACCTAAATATCTTAAGATCAACAATCGTCACTGTGTACTTGGTTACATGTAATGAATGAATGGATACAACAGGGATACAAGATGTTCAGATTTATATTTTGAAACTTAATATATTTCCATAAAATAGGTAATAAAATTCGTTATTTAATTTTTTGTGTACCTATATACTGACTGCAAACCTTGCGTAAATGAAATATTTTTTGCAATAATAATATCGTAATATTATTTACCTGGGAACGAGTGTACGACCATGTTTTCAAGGAACATGGTTGGTGTAGTCATCTGAGGTATTGAATTTTACTCTACTTAAAAAATTTCTATTTTACGTATATCCTAGTATAGATGTTTTGTATTGAATAGTGATTAAACACAAATAACATTGATAATATCTAATTAATTATGATTTGTCATATTAGTGAGTTGCAGATTAAGAACTACTTTGTGAGCGATTATAACTTAATAAATTTATTGTAATAATTATCAACTACAATTTATTAAAAATTATCAATTGAATTTTAATACTATTCATTTTATGCTTATTGGAACTAAATAATGGTGTTGATATTTGTTATAATGTTATTTTTATATAAGTGCATTGCTGCAGTGTTGATTATTTGAATGTTTCTCTTTGTCAGTAACACAGCTACTACCCATATAGCAATACTATTAATATAATTGGAAATTAGTATAATTTTATGTAATTAACAAACAATACTAAGTCACAGTAAAACATCAAAGTTTTTATTTTAGATTTAAAATTTGTCATGAGATAATATGGTCATGAGCTATTGACTTATGAGTTATGTCTTTATGTGGTAGTTAATAAATGTTTAAATTGCTTTATAAAAATGTATAGAGCAATTTGTATATTGTGATATAATTGTACTTAATAATTGTTTAAGAAAAATATTTGTAGATACTTTTTAAAAATTAATATCGGCATCTTGTTAGTTGCTGTATATAACTATAAATTATAAATCACTTATTTTTTTTTTTCAATTTAAAATGTAGTGTGTTCGTGTTTTTAGTCAAAGTAGCTATACTGTTATAATAACTTTACTGTTGAACGTGATACACGGCGATGGTGAAAATTCTTTTGTAATGATACGGGCAACAAAACGGGACTTATCAAGGACTAAACAATGAATTAATAACAATAAAATAAAATATACGCTTCGATTGCTACCGGTCACAACCTCGAAACTTCCTGATGTTTTTTCATCTCACTTTTTTTTATATATTTACTGGTATCTGGTTGCGATAGTCAACAAAGCGAATACCGTTTACCGTAATACCTATCAAATATGAAATATAATATTTTTATTCACTCGCCGATATAGCAGAATGAACAACTTATTTCTGCTTCTAAAAACCAAAGGACTAGCTGCAGGTTATTGTTTATTCCACGCGTTTGTCGGAAAAATAAGAATGTTCCGTCTGAATACATTTTTATTTCTTTCGACTGTAATAACAATAAAAAATTATACGAGTTGGAAACTGTTTTCTTTTTTTCCGGTTTTAATCGACGACGCCGCGGGAACTGCTTGTGCATTGCCTCCGTGACGCCGCCATCGTTTATTTACATAAAATAATAATAAAACAAATAATTGTACAGTGAGGGGGGGGTTGATGGGACAATCCCCCAACTAACCCTCCTTACAATATAGCAAGATAATAATATTGACAATATAATAACAGGATAATAATAAGACAATTTATAAATAACAACAAAACATTATAATATGGTCGTACGGTGTCTTGTGCGTGGCCGCCTTGGCGGGCCGACCGAAGTCCGCCGCCCTGGATGTCGCGTTCTGTCCGAACGGGCCACCGGAGTCCGCCGCCCAGTTGTCACCTGCTGCTGATGCGTCGTGTGCAGCCGGCATCTGGTGTTGTGGGTCGCTGTTGGTGCAGATCTGGATATTCTGCCGTGATCGTCCGTCCCACCCGTGGTGCCATAGTAAGGGATAGAACAGGTGTCGGTGGCACATACGAGTTGGAAACTTAGTGTGTTGTGGGAAAATATATCCGAGCGCAGCATTATACGTATAGGCCTTACTATATAGGTACCTATTATATTATTTACATATTGTTATAAATATCATGTAAGCAGCACCGGAAACGTATAGTTGTTCAATCAATTCTAAAATCCGTAGGTAATACATTTTCAAAAATAATAATAGAAAATAATATAACATCATAACATTCATAGCGAATATTTTTCAGAGATAAATATAATATTATTTATAGGAATAAAATATTATAATTGGATACTTACTCAAAACGATAGGTCCAATAGGGAAATGTAAACTGAGGGTTAAACCAGAAATATCATGTTTTGAATTACCAATGGCCTAAATATACGTAAACATAATATTTTATTATTATAGTGTCAATCGTTATTAATATGTCGGGAATGAAAATTTGACCATTTTTCTATCGTTTCAATACTTAACAATAGTTCTAAGAATTTATTACATAATTTCGTTAAACGATAAGAGCGACAATAGAAAAACTAACCGGGTCGGCACTAAATTCTTAAACCAATTGCAAGTATACCTACGTATTTATTATTTAATTTGAATATTTTAAAATAAATTTAAGAATTTAATCGTGATTTACACACAAATATATATTTTGAATACTTTTGAAAAGTGTTTATAAATACGTATTTCTTTGAAAATTATATAATTCTGTTAAGTCTTAACAATACTGATTATTTGTATTAATTATTATTGTTTGTACGAACTGATCATCGGATACAAAATAATAAGAATTGGTAAACATAATATTATAATATGTATATTTGTATAGTGTGTACTTATTTAAACATAATGAAATCAGTTTCTTTGATAAAAATGCAATAGTTTTGAAAAAAAATATACAAATCAAGTTGGATACAACTGTTATAGTTCAAACTATCAAA